TCGGTCGCTTTTATGAACGGATGGGAGTGACACTGGTGTTGAGCACGATTGAGTTTCTGGAAAAAGTCTTTAGACATTGAGTGGATTTTGGTTGATCTTTTAGAAAAGTCTACGGAGTTGGATGACATTTGAAATGAAATATGGTCCAAGTGCCCATCTCTATTGTTCGAATCGTCAATGATCTCTGTGAAAGAAGAAAGATAGTTCTAACTTATGATTTCGACTGTACATGACATGCTCTCAGTAGATCTTAAGAAAGCATCCATGAGTTATCGAGTACCACACAAGAGATCAAAGCACTAATCAATATGCACTTTTTTTGATAAGATATGCGCATCTGAATTAGTGGTGTTGAAGATCTCAACGTTCATATATCAAGGATTCTTGAAAAAATGTGTCTTGATAGGTGCGATGGTGAGTATCTTCTGTTCTCTCACATACCAACGATCTACACACCAACATTTGAGAATTTTCGAATAGAATATTACTACCTTAACGTACACATTGCCTTTAAAAAGGCTTTCAATATAATCTCTACAGTAATACAACGTGAAGCACGAGGATGCATAATGTCATCAAAATCACGCAAAAATCGGCGATTTTATTATGATTGATAAGCCAGATTAATCTTCAGACTATACCTCGGTTAAATTCTCTAAACCGACGACTTTTGCTGTTTTCATAAAAAATCGGGTTTAATCTGCATTGTTTTTGAAAATTAAAGAATCAGTAAATCTATTCAATTTTTCATAAAAGAATCGACAAGGATTCCCTTGAAAACTTTCCGAGGTATCACAACAGGAATTCGTGACGATTTAAAGGATTTCCTAAGGAGTCGAGTGTCAGAATCACAAATATGGTAAACATCCGTATACGACCACGTTTATTGATATATTTCTATGAGCTTCTCATTAGTTTGAGGGATCATTTTTTCATTCCTCACAGTAAATATGAAAATAATGTTTTTTTCAATTATGATGACCGATTGAATTATAATTGACATTAATGCAAATAGAAAGCTGATGGTGTAATGCGTACGGCATTAAAGTATGAAATAAAATTCAGTTGCTATTGCTAATAACAGGGATATTGTTTTTATCTCTACGTATTGGAGCACATCTCTTCGTCCTGCTTTGACTTAGTCCTTTAGAAATACAATGACGAAGTAACTCCAGGTCGAACATTACGACGACTAGATACGACTGTATACGGCCGCATACGATGCCGCATACGGTGTAAATACGGCCGCGACACGGCCGTATCTCTATGCACCGTATTACGGCCGTAAATCGCCGTACCGTAAACGGCGACACAAGGTTGCAGTATACGACAGAGGAAACGCGGTAAAACAAGCCAGCTCGCGGTCGCCTTTTTTGAGAAGGGTCTGGTTAGGGTCCCTCAAGTCCTATTTTCGAAAAAAAATTTTTTACAAAAAAATTTTGAGTGTTTTGAAAAAAAAATTTTTTCTCAAAAAGTCTGTTTCTGCAAAAAAACTTTCGAAAAAAAATTTTTTTTTGAAAATAGGACTCTAGGACCGTAAGGATTATGGGAAGTACTTACGTAACCGCAAAGTTGATGGTGTGATAATGGCCTCAAGGAATTACCGATACATATACACATCTGTGGGACAGAACTAATCGGTGAATGAATAGTGACTTTATTTCCAACCTGATTGGTCGAAAAATGGACCAATCAGATTTCAGGAGGGCCTATCTCTCTTATTAGACGGGGAACACATAGTCATGTTCGGACCGATCCTACGGTTATTGAGGACGCTGTTTTGAATGAAGGTCATATGTGTTGGTGTCCAGCTTTTGTACAGCTGAGAAATATCATTTCGAAATCTGATTGGTCAGTTGAAATGGGCGGATTATCGCTTAGAGCCGGTGTAATTTATCCGCGGTCGTAAACGGTGGTTTTTTACGCGGGTCGTTTGTGATGGGCGTAACATTAGGAAAATGGTTGTTTACCATTGCTGGATACGGTTACCGCAAACAGGTAGCATATACGGTGCTTTACGATGTTTCCCGAATAGCGTATACGGTCGTCGTATTGTTACGGTAGTCGTTAACGGCAACTTGTTGCGGCCATTGTTTACGATGACCGTAATACATCGTAAAGCATCGTTCACGATTACCGTAAATGGCTAACGCGAACAGTTGCCGTTATCCACCGTATATGGTTGGTACACGGCCATGCACGACCGAGGGAGATTGACCTGGGACTATATAGTATATTGTAACAAGCCGTTATTGATATACGATCTGTGATCATATATCAGTAGCATATATTATGGTCTGTAATAGTCACTGATTAGCGTTGGTCACGGTCTGCCTGAGAGAGGGGGAGGGAGTGGGTTCGAATTGTTAACCTATATATTTCAACACTCCCTTAATATCGTACTTCATAAGCACTATAATTTCTGGTATAAAATTATACTGATGAAATTGATGTTGCAATTGTTCTAAAGAGGAAGGAATACAATTTATCTTATAATTCTATACCTACTAATGAATCTGTTAGTGCGATGACTTTAAATGAAACGATAATAATTTATCTTATGAAAATAAGACTTCCTGAGAACACTGTTGTCGGGACTAGTTTAAATAAGAAAGAGAACAGTTTAATTCTTAAAATAGTACTTATCGTTGCAATTGTTATTGACATTAATCCAAATAAAAAGAATATAATTTGTTTTGTAAAATAATACTCATTGTGTCATTTTTCTTGAAATTGATCCAAATGAAAAAATACAACTATTTTCTTAAAATAATATATTTACCGCCGAATTTACTGTTGATTCAAACAGTTCCTCTAATAAAGAAAGATGAAAACTAATCCGACAATAAACATTCAGTTGGAAGTTTCTATGAGATACTAGAGACCGATGCGGATAAAAAAAGTTTCATTTTGGATTCTATTCGAGACATTCCACTTGCTCGAAATCCTAAATCTATTTGGTTCAAGTGGGTTCGACTCGGTTTAGGTAGAGCTCAAAGATGTTATTTAAGTTTTCATACTGTCCATTTTTTCACGATACTTCCTCCTAAGACTGAAAGTTGTCTATCAACTGTGCTAGAATCTATGTACTTATACATGCCAAAGAATATTTCGCACGATATAGGACCAAGTATACATTCGAATTTTTCAAAATCTTCATTGTTTGATAGTACAAAAAAGTTGAAGATTTCTCAGGAGGGAGCCATTGTTCACCGACTACCATTAGACAGTACTTGGTGATGAATATCATTGGTTGATTATGAACGTTTTAAGGTAGACGTTGAGTATCATGTAAGCAAACAAGATAATACGAGGTTATTTGCATGGTAAAGCCAACAACAAAGATTCATCAAAGTTTGACATAATTCCCGTGAGAAAAGGCGGCAAGTGACTACTAGAATAAATACACACTCTAGATCAAAAAAGTTCGAGACATAGAAAAGATAACTGCTACTCTTTATTAACAGTCATCTTGTATGCAAATCGATCCATTAACTCTTCGTGCAACTTTGTTGCTATATAATAAAGAAAGAAGTTATTTTGAATCGAATATCTTAGAAAGAATTCGATTCACTTTCGATCTCTGTGAGATACTTCCCAGGAAGAAGTGAAACGCTGAAAATGCCGTTTAAACTGCCATAATCACCCGTTCTGTTCGGAAACGGTGATAAAAGGCAAGAGAAAACGTGATCATCACTTTTCTTGCCGTTTTTACGTCCAGTCAGCGTTTCCAAGCGTTATTCACATTAAATAGCCTCTGAAACGGTTATATAAATCATTTTCTTCTTAGTAAAAGATAGTGAGAAATATTTATGATCATCTCCTTTTCCCATGAAAACAGCTATAAATGCTTAAAGTAGTTTAGTCTTTTTTTTAGAACTGTGGTTCCCATAATTATTCATATTCTCGTGAATTTGCGTTTTTTATTGTTCCAGAGTACGCGTGAAAGACATTTAGTCCGTTCTGAGCTTCCGTTTATCTTTTGATCTACTGAATTAATTCAAAAAAATTATTCACTGTAGATTTATTTATGTGAAAAAAAGTTTCTTTGATTAAAGTAAGAATCCACATAACATTGACATAATATGAATCAAAATCATGTGTTGGGGCGAAAATTAGAATATCGAAAAAATACGATGATTTTGTTGATTCAAAGTCTGAATTTTCACATTGAAATCCTAATTTTTCGATTATGTTCAAAGCTCGAAATGTACGATAAATTAGAAGTTCGTAATATTCTCAAACATTAAATTNTGTAAATTCGTATTCCGTCATGACATTAACGAAAAAACAAATCGTTTTTTCTTGAAACACCTAGTAATACCCAGAAAAAAATTTTGAATTGAGATTTTGTGGCTTCAGAACCTGTCTACAGAATGTACAATGTAGTTTCTAAAAATACGGCCTCAATTCGAAGGCTTTTTTAAACTGAAATTCTTGATGTGAACGTCGATGCCCTTTTCTTATCACGCTATTAACGTTAAGTTTTTCACTGGTAATTTCTTTGAACACAGGTGTGTGAAGTAACGTAACATACATATTGTATATAAATACAACTCTAAGAAAGTTCATTATTATGAGATACATGTGTTCTAATTTTGCAAAGTCACGTCGGTAACGAATGATGTAGCCCACATGTGAATTTACTTAGACTACTCAAATTCGATATCTCGGAACGACTTTAGACAAATCGAAATCGAACTTGAATGTAACAATAGATATTTCGAGTAGAACGCATCATATTTGAAGGTTTTGAATTCGATGAATTCTTATTTTGACCTTTGTCAGTTCTTCAAAAATGATTTAGTAATTTTATAGAAAGTTGAAATAGTATTTGCCAGTTTTCCAGTATACACCATAAGATGAATGAACATAAATATGAAATCAAATTTATAAACTTCTAATTTGGAAAAAAGACTACACGAAATTTGACTTCGATCTATCAAAAAAATCTAATCACATTCATGATTATATTTCACGTAATCGACTATAAATGAACTTCACATTTGTATCTTACCAAGAAATTCATTAATATCAATTCTTCCATTTTTATCTAAATCCATAACAGAACTGAGTTCTTCAATATATGCTTCATTAATGCCATCGGTCTCATTTTCATCATAAAGTAAAAGTTTGAGAACATCAGAAAATTCATTACGACTTATAAAACCTATGATATTTATATATATATATATAAGAAATAAGTATTCATCAAACTAAAAGAATTCATACCTGAATGATCCTGATCGATTAAATTAAATAATCGTATAAGCAAATCTTTCCACATATATAAATCTTCCATAATACCAGAATTAGACTAAAACAATAAAAATACAATATTCATTTATAATTCCTTCTCTCTTTTTTTGCTATACTATTTGAAATTTCGTATTATCTAAAATATATTCATCAAACATCGTATTATAAAGAATTCCTTGTTTATCTTCGTGTACAAGTTTCGAACGTAATGTAAGCCAAGGTAAATCAATTCGAAGTATGTTCGTCATAATCTCCGACCCAACTTTCAAAGGTAAATGATCTAATTAGATACAAAAAAAAAATAAAATCTTGATACTATTATTGTAAGTTGTATACTAGTTCGATATCTGTCTCTTTTTTCAAATTCTTTTTGAAGTGAACTTTTATTTGTCATAATTTTTTCCGATAATGATTGATAAGCTGGATCTTCAAATAATGTTACTCTTTAAGTAAAAAAAAAAAAAAAGCAAAAGAAGCATTGCAGACATTATCTCGATTTTGATTATCTTACTGTTTATTAAAACTCATTTTTTTCATTTCAACAGATTCAGTTTTATATGAAATTAACCATGGCTCTTCTTCGTTATAGTCCCTAAAATAAATTTTAATATTTAAAACAGAAAAGAATATGATATACACAAACCATCGTATAATCGCACCCCAATTGTATCCATCACAATAATTTGATGCACTAAAAACTGTTAAAACTTTTTCATTATGTGTATATTCATAACCATTTTGTTTGACTTGATGGGAACGTATAATCATTGAATAATTATATTCATTAAGAAATTGTTCTGTTATATCTGGACCAAAAAAAGAACCTATATTTCTTTCATTATTATTTCGACAACCTCTACGATTATAAGGATCAGGATCACTCCAAAGTAAATCTAAATATAACTCTCATCAAATACATGGGATCATTTCTATTATCATTACCTTGTATTTGATAATATTCATCATTTTCATCAGCAGTTAATTGTTTATCACCACTTTTAGATTCTGGTGGTACTTCCATTGAAACATCTACAAAATGGCAAACATTAACATTATTTAAGGTGCTGAAAATTCAAAGTTTGAACAAATTTTGTTTTTTCTCTTTGCATTTTTTTTGTCAAAGTTGGATAAAACTTATTGAGTTATTACTAAAAATGTTGTTGACGTTTAAGATGATATTTTTTTTCTCATTAAGAATGTGGTTCTTACAGATTGTTTATATCAGACATAATCAGTTTTTGTTCATATTTTTTAGCTTTTTATTTGACCGATTTCAACTGATTTTGAGATCTTTGTTTTGCATTAGACAAAAAATAAGAAGAGATTTGGAAAGAACACTCAAAACTAATCATAACTAGCGTGAAGAATCACTAGCAATTCAATAATTTTTAATACTAGAAATATTTTAAGCTTCGATTAGAATGTTCTTTCTGAAGCTATTCGTATGTTTTGTCTAATACAAACCGCAGGTCTCGAAATCAGTTGGAATAGGTCGAAAAAAAAAACTAAAAACTGTGAATGTTTCATAAATTTCAAAAGCTTTGTTCTATATTTCATGTACTTCAATTACAATTTCGTATAGAGCAAAAAAACTGTTCATGGTTGACATAAATAATCCAGAGGCATCTATATTCTTAATAAAAGAAAATCGATCTTTGATGTCATATTCTAGAAATTGGGCGTGAGTGTTAGTGAAGGCAGTGTCTACAGTCACATCCTGTCCATCTATTCGGATGTCCAAGTAAATAGATTATTCATTCGATTGATCAAAAACTGACGTTCAGCATTTGAAGCACAAACTTTACTTCGAAAAAAAGTGAGCAAATCTTTTGATGAGTGCTACTTATCGTTCGATTGTTTCAATATGATGACAAAATGCCATAAATATCAATTTTTATTATCAGTTTCTGATCATCTTTATTTCATTTCCAATTGAAAGGAATATCATATTCACAATCAGCTCAAAAAAACTGCATCAAATAGTATAGTCGATACTAAAAACTAATTTTCATCAAATTTCGTTTGCTACAATTCGTCACTATTATTTTCGGATCCTCTGATCTGTTCTTGTTTTAACGATTAAAATTTGATGAAAATGAATTTTGAGTATTGATTATACTATTCGGTGCATATTATTATGCTAATTCTAAATATGATATTCATTTCTTTTGCAACTCAAGTTCTGATACTGAAAACCTTAGAAGACAAAATTAATATTTAACCATATGACGAGTAAAATCAAAAGAAAAAACAAATTTGAAAGAATATTGAGACTACTAAGACTTAGTGCTTTTGATGTATTTCAATATTGATAGGCTTTTCTGATTGCTTTGAAACGTAATTTTTCTAAAAGATTGTTTGAATATGTCAAAAAATAATATTTATAGGTAAATTGATGAACTCTATCGAACTGTCGACATTCTTAATATATATACATAGATCAATAGCTTTTCTTACATCGATTTCTCTGAAGAGATTTGATTTGTTCTAGATTAATATATTCAGATATTCCTCCATGTATTATAATAAGTTTAAATTTTCCCGTATGAACAGATGAATACAATGGTAACCAACTAAATATATCTTTAAATAGATCAAGTAATGGTGCTTTACATGTCTAAATAAACATTCTATAGATCAATATCTGCGATAAATTATGAACTAACCCGATATTTTCGATTAACTTCATCTTGAAAACCATATTGGGCTGCAACCATTATATCTTCATGGTTACCTTTTCAATTTTATGGAAAAAAAAATATTAAATAAAAAAATAATAATGAAAAGAAAACAATTACCTCGATTAAGAAAGACTGAACTTGGATAGAGAATTAATGCAACCATAAGTAAAAGAATAACTTCAACTGAATTTCGACCTCGATCAACAAAATCTCCATTAAATATATATGGATTATCAATGGCAGGTAGACCATTCTATAGATAATTCAAATGGAGAATAAAAAGAAAAATTCTTATGAATATTTAGTTTACCGCATTAAATATATGTAATAAATCAGCTAATTGTCCATGAAGATCACCAATAATATATATATGATGTAAAGTAGATAAATCGATACGATTATAGTTTGGTAAAGTTTTAAGTATAACGCGTGCTTGATGAAGAATGTGACAAACATATTTTTCGTGTAATACCTATGAATAGATAAAGAATCATAGATTAGAATATATATATATAAAAATTTATTCAGACGAGACTTCCAGTTTTGTTTTACGAATTATAGTGATTACAAAATCAATTATATTTTTGTGTCATAAGACGAAAATTTAATGAGAAGGATACGAAAATATTTATTCAGTATTGAAATTGGAACTTTCAAAATGTTTAAGTATTCAAAAATTTAACGAAGGAGGAGGAGGGGATACAGTGTCCTTTTTTTTGCATGGCAGGCGGACATATGGCTTTGTTGATTAGAATTGATTAAATATGATGCAGAAAAGCATTTAAAAACTAAAAATATTTTTTGGGAAAAAAGACTTTTCGATGAAACATGCTCAAGGGGGATTCTTGCCCTTATTTTTCAAGAAAATCTTTTTCTTCAAAATTCTTTTTTCGTAGAAGTTAAGCATGGAAATTCAAACATATTTTTAGCATTGTATAGAACTTGACTTGGAGATTTAAAAAATGTACTTGATTTATCTATGGAACAATTTAATCTTGTGAGATATTGATTTTTCTAATGACATCATGATTTTTAGCCTAATTTTTGGGCAACTGTTTTTTCAGTTTTTTTTTGAAGGTTGTAAAAAAGTTACTTGTACCATTAGGTAGATTAAATTTTGAAGTATATTTCCTTATATTTAAATCTTAAAAAAGTACAATTTTCATTTTAACCAAACACTCACGACATCATATCGTGATATTACGGGCAGGTCAAGCGTGATTTCTGTTAATATATGATCATGTTGCAATATCTATTTCCAAAAAGAGTAATCACTACGGCGTACATAGTGACCATGATTTCAAGCGAAGACGAAAACTGAAAATAATTTCTACAGATTGTTCTTAATCGTGATTATTTGACGTCTGGAGAAACATTTTCTATAGATAGACAGCGCCTGATCAAGACTTATTTAATAGCATGTGCGGAATCTTGTTCTAAAAACTGAAATTATTTGGAGATAATAGAAACCTTGAAACTTCTAATATAAAGTGTTTTCAATTTCTGAGAGTGATTTAGTACAAATGTTTACTAACCCTTATTATGTGATGGTGATCTGTAAACTCGAATATGTTTTCGTGAATACATTGTTTGCATTTTTTTTCATAAATATCTTACAAAAATGAATGGTTCACTAATTATGAAATCATATATAAACAATCACTCACTTCAAGTCTTTTAATATACCTGTAAAAGTCTGAGTAAAATAATAATACTTCTGATAGATTTTGTTCCCTATTACTTGAATTCAAGTTACTAGAACATATTTTCTAAGTCTATGGGAAAACAAGTCTTCACAATTAGGAATTTTTCAAATAGATTTCTGTTTTGTTTGTACTATCAAAACATTGATTTTGAAGATAAGGCAATTATTTTAAAATATCATGTAAAATCTAAATATCTTAGTCAACAAGAGAAACAGCTGATCATATTATAAAAAGTTACGAATATTTCAAATTTTGACTATCTTAGATAAAGTGTAGTTCGTTTTTTTTTTATTTCAGTAAAATTACCCTCTTGAAGTTAAATTCATACTATGCATATATCAAGACTTGTAGACTAGAACAATCGGAAAAAAAGATTTGAATTCATCAGTCTTCTCTATAGAGTTGGGTTGGATCTTTATCGTAGAGTAACGAATTCGCAGGGAAATCAAACTAAAGACTTGTCACTTGAATTTTCATTTACGTAAAAGTAGGTCACATAGTTTTAAAAACATCCTAAAAGCTTGAATCCAAATGAGATTAATGTCCTCCTGAAATATTCAGCGTTCAACAACACCCTTATTTATCTAACTGTTACTGAAATCTAATCAGATTTAGAACATTGAATATTTCAAGAAGAAAAATATTGTTTGAAATGAAACTTTTAGAATATTCTTAAGACCTCGTGATCTATCCATACATGAGATTTTAAGTCAAAAAACCTTTTGTCCAATTTTCCTATCAGATTGCCGTCGTACGATAAAAACCGAGCAAAAAAATCTTAGAACTAAACTTCCTTGGGTCCAACATTTTTGAATCCAAATTGATTCGTATTCCTAATTTCAAATGAAATCATTTGATCTGTATCTAATAGAGTTGCTCCAGAAATATGAAATATTGTTTATGAATAAGAATTAAGTGATAACTGGTTTTTAATTTTAGAGTATTACTTGTTAAGTCACTCTTGGTGTCACAGTCAATTTGATGCACTCGAGTCGTAACTGTATAAAGAAGACTTATGGAATTGTTCTAATCGAGAAGTTCTCTGCATATGCAGAAAATATGATCTCAAAAAAAATGAATTACATTGTACAGTTTCTTCATGAGATAAATAGCTATATCATTTCGACATGTGCTTTCTTTGAGAAAGAATTATTCTATGTTAAAATATTCCCCAAGACAATACTGATGTTTATGTTAGTAACTCAGTCAATTGGAAATTTTTATTTGAGACCTATGAATCTGAATAGTTAAATCTATCAATATGCACAGTTTTAATCTTACTCATATCCCTTTAAATTATCTATCGACGTATAACCCTTTAAAGTATTTTATTGTATTTTATATCCTAATATTCTGCAACTGATGTTGAATGATTTGTCTTTCTTACCTGTCCATGTTGAAAAGCTTCAATTAAATCTACAAATGTTTGTCTTGTAATTGGATCTTCAATACCTAGCAACAAATCAACTATTAATTCATTTTTATTAAAAAAAAAACAATCGCATACGTGGTCCACGATAACTAGCTTCAACAGAAATACTATCAGGATTTGTTGATCTTAAAAGTTCTCTTTCTTCTAGATAAAATGAAATCGAATATATTTATCGTCTATTTGAATTCTAAATAATACATTACCTACAGGTAATCGAGCTTTCTGAAGTAGTTTTGCAACAGATGGTGAAAGTGAATCAGATGCTTTGAGTAATTTTTCAAACATATCTTTTAGCTGAGATGTATAAATTTCAAACACTATGGTAATTACAAAAATTAAAAAAATATTTTTTTCTTACTTTTGCTTGAGTTTGTTCACTAGAATATTCAAGCTTTTCATGTAGCTGCCATACTGCTTGGTTTTTTAATTTAAGTCGAGCTTGATGATTACGAAATGCAGCTTGAATTTTCGATGCAGATTTATCAGCTAAAACAAAATTATAAATGTTGTCGACTTCTATCCAATTGTAAGTCCTAGAGTAGTTGAACTTATTTGTTGTAAGCACCGGTAGAGATTGTCAGAAAGAGCGTACAAGATTCGTACCAAAAGAAAGAGATAGAAAATGAATGTATGTGGATATAATAGAAAAGAGAGCATATCTATTACAAACAGTCTTCTGAATAAAGTCTCATATCTTAAAAAAAAAAAGTATATTGTGCTTTGCCGTTAATATCGTCACTAAGATTTATAACACAACTTGTAGATGATAGACTGCGCATATATAGTGCTCGTTATTTATTTCCGGCGAGATGATGAATAAGTTGTGATATAAATTTTTTCCCAAATATTTGCAGAAAATAACTGAATCCTTTTTTGAAACAAGATCTAAACGAAATGTCGAAGAATAGATGTAAAAGTTTGATTCTCTTGGCCCAGTGTACAAATAACAGAAGTCAAACAATAAAAATATTTCTCGTATTTTTGATCAAACTTTTTTTTAGCAAAGCTTTTTTAAAAGAAAGTACATATTTTTAATTGTACTAAATTTACCATGACAGACATGCTTGTGAGACAGAATTCTATTACAGAATTAGTATGAATCACAACTGAATTTTAGATAGGTCTACTTTGCGCTATTTTCGCATTTATTGCCATATATTACGATTAATAACATTTATCATCGATAGACATAAATAGTAGACGAGAATTCATAAAGCAAAATAAGTCAATGAATTTCTTCTTTTACAATGACAGTAACTTCATCATGTTTCGCATTTTAATCTTCTTGAAGTTGCATTAGTAGCTTTTTTATTTGTACATATTCTGATTATATACTTAGACGTGTGCTAAATAGTTATTATACAAGTAATGAGATGCATCGATTTTAAATTTTAAAAAATACAAAGAAACATTCTTTCTAAAGCTGTATGCAGTTTGTTTTTGTTTCCATGGTTTTAAGGAATTCTTTTAGCAGAAATCATTGTCCTATATTTTTCCTATATAGTTATAAAAAATCCTATAGAAATGATAATTGTAACTTTCGATATATTCCTTTATTTCCATACAGTGATGCTGCGAAGCCACGCCTCAACAATGATAGGAAGAAAGAGAAAATGTACAAGCGATGACATCATCTAACAAAATATTGTTTTCCGTATTTTTTTTATTATAACTATTTTCGTTATTCATAGTCTATAATTCTTCATAAAATATTGGCGATCGTAATTTCTTATTGAGAAAAGAAACCAAAGAAATGCAAATAATAAAAAGTCATACCTGACAATGTTGGTAATCGAGTAATCATTTTGAATTTTTCTCGGTGCTCAAATAGTAATGCTATTTAAGGTGCAATCTGAACAAAAAAAGTTAAAAATTAGTTTCAAACACTGTATCTTTCCAAAAGCAAAAAGCGAGATATATCTAAGCATATTGTAGTAGATTTTTGTCATGTAGTAGTAATAAGTATTATTATTGTTATATTTATTTTTCTTTTCTCTTCTGTGACTTCGTACCAATGAGTCATTACCGCATATATATCTACGCATATATGTGTTATCTTTAAAAGTTTTTACGCTTGTTCGTTTCTTTCCATGTAACTTGTTGTTAATGTGATGCGAAGCGCAGCATGTGTGTAGTCCTTCGCGAGTTTTCTTTCTTTCTCGATGTACATATCAAAATTTGTCGTTTTCTGTCACAACGATCTCGAGAACAGAAAATCAGAGAATACTCGTTGAAACGTAGGATGAAGATATCAAGAGCCGAACTGATAAAAATTTGTTTTGTAACGTTGACGAGGACCTTCCTTCTCATTATAAACAGAGCTTCAAAACAACGACTTTTTAGGGGCTGGATTTTTTTCGCGTTTCAAGATAATTACAAGTAGATGGTATTCGAGTTTTACTTGAATATGAAATGTGGAGCTAAGCATGAAATCTCGATTTTCGAAAAAAGAAATTATCTCATAAAAATGTTTAGCCAGTTTTACGATTCATTGGAAGTCGCATTTTTTTCAAACGATCTTTACGTTTTAGTGATGAATTTCTAAAGTAGGCATCACGAGAACTATCACTACGAGAACTCTATCAACACGTTTTTAACGACCGATATTAATTGATCATTTAACTATCTACATAACTCATTACCTATTGTCAGCACCTTGAAACTCGAAAAAAACTGATTCGATAAAAATGTGTCGTTTTGAAATTCTATGTATAATGAAACGTAACCTCTTCGTGAAGCTTTGTAAAAAAATATAAAGAAAAACTAGATGATACCTGAAAGAAGTCCGTTGTGCGAACTTGATGCGAAACACATTCTAAATCCAGACTCAACTGTTTTATGAGATTATCAAACGTTCTACTTACGAAGAGAGTTCCTTAAGAGAGATCAATCGCTATTTCATAAAAATATGCATGAATGTATGCAGTTCATTGCGTTGATTTCGAATATCGGAGGCCTTCTCATCATTTAATCAATCTACCATCTACCACTCGACAAAATATGCACAAGAATACTTTCTTTCTTATAGACACGTCAACCTTAAGTTTCAAAATGCTAAGATGAACCGTAAAGCAGAAGAAGACTAAATATGCAAAAGTATCCTTTTGGAGTTAACATTTTTGATATCATGAAAGAATAAAGAAATAATTTTATCTTATGTATTGGGTGTGGATGTGCATATCAGTGTCGATGTTGGAGAAGAAAAGCTTCAGAACCAACAACCACACTCGCTAACATGCATACGCACACCCACACCCGTTGAATACAGTGACTTGTATCTACATATGTCATCAATAAAAAAAACTTCCGACATTTTTTGATATAATAGTAGTCATATAAATGCTTGATTTTACCTAGATTGTCTGTAAGAGCAGAAGCATTTGATCTAAGACATGAATCACTATTTTTGATCAAAACTTGTCGTGACAAACCATTCTTTGGCAATTCGTGTTCATTAGTTAAGCTAGAGCATTGAGTGACTTGAGAATAACCTGTAAAAGAATCGATCCATATTTCATCATCAGTAAAAATAATAAAAATTCCAGTCGAAAAAGAAACATGGATATCTCTTTAACTATTCAAACGATTTACGTCAGGTTTTTATAGTTTCATTTCATATTTATCAAAGTTTTATTTCATGTAAATTTGTCTGAAACAGGCGTACTCAATGATTACTTATAACTGCAATTCAAAAAGCTGTCCTGTTTGAACACATCTTACAAAACAGCATATAAAATTTAGTTTGATATCTTTTTGATTTTCTTTTACATTTTTATTTTCAACTGAATTAGGTCTTGGAAAAATGTCTTATAAAAATGATTCTTCACATATTATTTAGCATAATCTTCTTACTTCTGGATTAAAAAAACACTTAAAGCATAGTAAAATATTTTTCTCCATCGATAATGGTGCCTCGAAAAAATTGTCCGAAAACTTAATTTTCTAACATCACACAAGAAACATTACCTTTTCAAGATTGTATAATAATTTTAATAATTTTTTGAGTTGATGACGTTTGCTAAAGATCCAGTTCAGCTGAAAATGGAAATGTACACAAAAATTAAAAAAGATTTCAAACTAAATTTTACATTTATGTTTTTTTATAGTTATTTTCAAAATGAATAGATTTATGTATTGCATTTATAAGTAGTCATTTAGTACACCTGTTACAGACAAATTTACGTGAACAGTCACTCACATTTTTTTTGACTGATCACAGTGCAACAAATTGAAAGGAGCAACGATTCTCTTTCTTAAAGACTAGAATGTATCGATTGAGAATACGTGTAAACAATGGTTAGTCGATGAAAGTGAAGGAATTAAATGAGTAAAGATGGGAAGATTGTAGAGATGAAGTTCTTGTCCTTCATGTCAAGCAGGTATCCATATTTTATGTCACAACCTCGATGGGTTTGTTATTTTTTAATAATATTATTCGATTTTTTTTCATCACAAAATTTCATTGTTTTCAACAGAAACCGTTTCTATCAATTGAAATGATTGCAGTTTGATTGATGAACACAATTGGCAAAGTGTGATGTTATCTTATAGTTTCTCAAAATAAAACTGGATAGTCAGAAGAACGGATGATGAACTGATATTAATTATTACTCTATATGCCACAATAACGGATACAAGTCAATGTCTATTTGTGTATTCAATACATGAGTGAAAATAAATAATATTCATTACTAATATCTGGTGAGAATAATCGAGTAACTTTTGTGACAATGAGTAAGAAAGAAATTCTAGTTTCCAAGAAAGTATTTACAATTGCTTTTATCTTAGCTAGATTTCAAAGTACTCATTTTAAAGAAGAATTTCATATTTCAATTACTGATACATCGACTATCAGTGTTATTGTGTATTTCAGGCAAAATACCGTACTTACTAACAAATGAGAGGTTTTTCAAAAAAAAGCTTCTTCGAGTTAGAATAACATATATGATTTTAAACTATACACAAAATCGTTTTTTGTTTCTAATCAGTGGAAAAATTCAGACGGTATATATTTCAAGTTCTAGCGATGCAGATGTGAAACTATTAGCTCGAGGACAATTGATTTCACTTGACGCGTAGCTCTATTTGATGGCAATGTTATCGAATGATCAACTTATCAATCAAACAGTAAAGATAATGTACTAGGGCATAATTGTTCGTTGACAATCTCAGTGAATGATTTGGGTAGGTTGTTTTAAATGATGATAACATCACAACATGCAACGATTAGTTAAAGTACAAGAATAAACAGATTCTCATTGATATTATTGTGAATAAGCTGGCACCACCGTGTTTTACATTTCAATGCTGCAGCAATTACGAAGGATCCACAGTTTCCTAATCACTATCCATAATGGAGATCTTCAAAGTGGTCCCCGTACATTTTTTACCGAAACCTACACTATACATTTCCATGCTTATTATTTCGTTCATAGTAAGAACCTCCAAAGCGGGTGTGGGTCTTCTTTTCACCAACATACTTACCCACACCGTCAGTAAAGTAGTCATAACTTTTGAAAGAAGAGATAAAAGGCCAGATTCTTTCAAAGTTTTTACTAGAACATTATATCGTATCTCTAGGCCAAAAAAATTATTGAAATCAAAGGATAGCATCTGAGAAGGTTTCCTCATTAGTCATGGCGGACGGCTCTTGAGATGTCGAATGTGAAAGACACTCCATTTGTTGATCTTTGTTTGTGACACGTGATCATTTTTCGTATGTCCGATAGTTCAAGAAGAAGGGTGTTGGTGTGGGTGACAAGAAGAGTAACATCCACACCCTACCTGATATTGATGAGTTTAGACCCTGTAGTCATAATTTATGCTACTTTCGGTTCGAATCTTCAAAATATCGCAGTTGTGGTTAAAACCGACGACGTTTAAGTGGTCGTGTACGACTTCACAGATAATGTGTTGTATGTTACCAATACTTTCGCTGAAGACGAACACGGACCTAAACCAGCTTATCGACGATAATTCATCAAGCTCGATCTCAACGTAGAATATACTCGAGTGTTACCGACGATTTAATCGAGTTCTATAGAAACCGCATTGACGCTTTCACAATCCCATTGATTACCTTTACCTATATTTAGGTTCGAAGAGCAATCAGGAACCAAGTTGCAATGCTAATAAGGAAAAAAATTATTTTTTGTTTCACGTTTTTTTCTCGAATTGTGTCTTGTCTTTGCTGATAGATAATGCATAATTACAATGAAAGTACCATCGTTGTGATTGTTAAATTGAGGTGAGCAGAGAGATCGAAAGAAACAGCGTGGGGATGATGTAGACTTAGAATCGGTAGAGGTTTTTCCAACTGGATCGAACTCACCGGATGAAATTCTTGATTCAACAAGTAAAAAACATACTCATTTACACTCCAATTAACGAGCTAGTTCTTTCCATAAATACTTCCTTAGTGCAGCCCTAGAAAAGGCTTGAGTGTGTGCTTAGTTCGGCTGTTAATCTTCCGTGCATTAGCATCTCCACACGCATCCCTGACGTTTGAAATCACGTTGCTCAAAATCCTCACTTCAGCGCTGTTTCACATATACCTTGTGTTGTTGATGCATCAACATCATGCATGCGATACTTTCTCATGCCTTTTGTAGAATGAGTTTCAAGTCGTAGTTGTTTAAGAACATGCAATAAAAAGAATTTCGGTTCACACTCATTAGTAGTTGGATAAGAAAGAAAAGAAAATAGATGATACAAGAAGACTGGCATTACCATCATGACCTCTATCATGTTGAAAATATTCACATAGAAAATGGACTACTCTAAATGTATCATAAAACTTGCGAAAAAACTATTTCAACACCACTCAGATCACGAGAAAAAAGGTTGCCATCGTCGGGCATTAATCGAAATACACTTTCAATCTCCTCTATTAGAGCTGAAGAAATAATCTCCAATCTCCAAATTATTAAAAAAAAGGGGTGTGGGTGTGAGTGTGGGTGTGGGTATAAGAGATAAAGATATCATCACCCACATCCGCACCCACATCCACACCCACACCTCACACCCACACCCACAACCATACCCACACACCCACATCCACACCCTTCTTCTTGAACTATCG